TGGGTATACAGGCGTATGCTTTTGGAAAATATACAAAGTAGAATAGTTTAACCCCAATCATTTTAGATCACTGTCTCTTTCCACTCTGACTTCCTTTTTCCTACTTCCCGTGGTTAGTAAGTACTATTGGAGGGGCCGTTTTAAGGCCAGGGCTGGGGCTTGGAGGCTGCTTTTCACTTGGGTGTGGCTCTATATTGAGGCCAGGGACTGAGGTAGGCAGGGCGGGGGCTCGGAGGCTTCTTTTCACTTGGGGGTGGCTCTTTATTAAGGCTGGGGCCTGAAGTAGGCAAGGCCGGGGCTTGCAGGCTGCTCTTTGCTTGAGTGTGGCTCTATGTTGAGGCCATTGCCCGAGGTAGACAGGCCGGGGGCTTGGAGGCTTCTTTTCACTTGGGGGCATCTCTAAGACTGTTGCTCGAGGTAGGCAGGTGCAGAGGTATAGGAACAAATGAGGGAGATAAACTTGTCTGTCAGCTTGTCGTCCTGTGGTGGCTTACATGTTGCTGTGAGGCTGGAGGCTATGCCACCGTGTTGTAAAATGCCAGCAGGTCACCCACGGAGGACAGGTTTCAGTGGAGCTTCCGGGCTAAGACAGGCTTGGACGAAGGAAGAGGCCATCCACTTCTCAAACACTTGGCCAGTGAGAACCTTATGAATAGTGGTGAAACACTGTCTGATACATTACTGGTCGACTTTATGAATAGCCCTGAAGCGTCCGATATGGTGCTAGAAGATGAGCCCATCGGGTCGGAAGGCACTTAAAATTTGACTGGAGAAGAGCTGACTCCTCAGAGGAGAGACGACCTTAACGATATGAATAGAGTAAAGCTTTCGGGACCTCCATTTGCTGATATGGCCTGACACAAAATGAGTAGAAATAGCTGCAAACATCCATTAATAATTAGAACATGGAGTGTATGAAGTATGAATCTGGGAAAATTTGAAGTTGTCAAAAATGAAATGGAATGTATAAAGATTGATATCCTCAGCATTAGTGAGCTGAAATGGGACTGGTTTTGGCCATTTTGAATCAGACAACCATATGATCTACTATGCCAGGAATGACAGATTGAAGAGGAATGGTGTGACAGTCATCATCACAGAGAGTATTTCAAGATCTACCCCAAAATACAATGCTGTCAGTGATAGGATAATATCCATACGCCTATAAAGAAGACCACTTAGTACTACTATTATTCAAATTTACACACCATCTACCAAAAGCCAAAGATGAGGACACTAAAGATTTCTATCAACTTCTGCACTCTGAAATTGACTGAACATGCAATCAAGAGGTGTTGATTATCACTGGTGATTGGAATGCAAAAGTTGGAAACAAAGAACAGATACCGGTAGTTGGAAAATATGGTCTTGGTGATAGAAATAATGCTGGAGATTGCATTATAGAATTTTGCAAGACTAACGACTTATTCATTGCAAATACCTTTTTTCAACAACACAAACGGTGGCTATACACATGGACTTCTCCAGATGGAGTACACAGGAATCAGATTCACTACATCTGTGGCAAGAGGCGGTGGAAAGGCTCAATATCTTCTTTGGCTCTTGGCCAAAACAAGGCCAAGAGCTGATTGTGGAACAGACCATCAACTGCTCATATGCATATTCAAGTTGAAGTTGAAGACAATTAAAACAAGTCCCTGAAAGCCAAAATATGGCCTTGAATATATTCCTCCTGAATTTAGAGACCATTAAAAGAATAGATTTGATGCATTGAATACCAGTGACTGAAAACCAGAGGAATTGTGGGACGATGTCAAGAACATCATCCACAAAGAGAGCAAGAGGTCACTAAAAAGATGAGAAAGGAAGAAAAGACCAAAATGGATGTCAGAAGAGACTCTGAAACTTGCCCTTGAGTGGAGAGTAGCTAAAGCAAATTGAAGAAATCATAAGATAAAAGAGCTGAACAGAAAACTTCAAAGAGCAGCTCGAGCAGACAAAGCCAATTACTATAATGAAATGTGCAGAGACCTGGAGTTAGAAAACCAAGGGGAAGAACACACTCAGCATTTCTCAAGTTGAAAGAACCAAGGAAAAACTTTAGGCTTTGAGCTGCAATACTGAAAGATCCATGGACAAAATATTGAATGATACAGGAAACATCAAAAGAAGGTGGGAGGAATATGCAGTCACTGTACCAAAAAAAAGTTGGTGAATCTTCAGCCATTTCACAAGGTGGCATATGACCAAGAACCAATGGCATTGAAGGAAGAAGTCGAAGCTTCATTGAAGGAATTGGCGAAGAACAAGGCTCCAGGAATTGATGGAATACCCACTGAGATGTTTCAAAAAACGGATGCCCCACTGGAGGCACTCACTTGGCTATGCCAAGAGATTTGGAAGACAGCTACCTGGCCAACTGACTGGAAGAGACAGGTCCATATTTGTACCCATTCCAAAGAAAGGTGATCTCACAGAATGTGGAAATTATCGTACAATGTCATTAATATCACAAGCAAGTAAAATCTTACTGAAGATAATTCAAAAATGGTTGCAGCAGTACATTGACAGAGAACATCCAGAAATGCAAGCTGGATTCAGAAGAGGCGTGGAACAAGGGATGTCATTGCCGATGTCAGATGGATCTTAGCTGAAAGTAAAGAATACCAGAAAGATGTTTACTTATGTTTTATTGACTATGCAAAAGCATTCAATTGTTTGGATCATAACAAATTATGCATGACATTGAGAAGAATGGGAATTCCAGAACACTTGATTGTACTCATGAGGAACCTGTACATAGATCAGGAGGCTATTGTTTGAACAGAGCAAGGGGATACTGCATGGTTCAAAATCAAGAAGGGAGTGTGTCAAGGTTGTATCCTTTCACTATACTTATTCAACTTGTATGCTGAGCAAATAATCCGAGAAGCTGGACTATATGAAGAAGAACGCAGGATCAGGATTGGAAGAAGACTCATTAACAACCTGCGATAAGCAGATGACACAACTTTGCTTGCTGAAAGTGAGGATGACTTGAAGCACTTACTAATGAAGATCAAAGACTGCAGTCTGTAGTATGGATTACACCCCAATATAAAGAAAAGAAAAAATCCTCACAACTGGTCCAGTAAACAGCTTCATGGTGGATGGAAAAAAAGATTGAAGTTGTCAAGGATTTCATATTACTTGGTTCTACAATCAACAGCAATGGAAGCAGCAGTCAAGACATCAGATGACATATTGCACTGGGCACATCTGCTGCAAAAGATCTCTTTCAAGTGCTGAAAAGCAAAGATGTCTCCTTGAAGACTAAGGTGCACCTAACCCAAGCCATAATATTTTCAATCCTCTCTTATGAATGTGAGAGCTGGGCAATGAATAAGGAAGACCGAAAAAGAGTTGATGCTTTTGAGTTGTGGTGCTGGAGAAGAATGCTAAGAGTGCCCTGGTCTGCTAAAAGGACTAACAAATCTGTCCTGGAAGAAGCATAGCCAGAATGCTCCTTGGAAGTGAGAATGGCCAAACTTCGTCTCACCTACTTTGGTCATGTTGTTAGAAAGAACCATTCCCCAGAGAAGGATGTCTTGCTTGGTAAGGTGGACCGTTGACGAAAGAGGGAAAGGCCCTCAATGAGATGGATAGACACAGTGGCTGCAATATGGACTCAGGTATAGAAAGGATCGTGAGGCTGGCACAAGGGTGGGCAGTGTTTCCTTCTGCTGTGCATGGGGTCACTATCAGTAGGAGATGACTCGATGACACCAGCAATAACACTGGAGTGGCCATGTAATCCAGTGATGGGAAGGCAAACTGAGTCATCTTGCTTGGGTCTACTTGGATGGACTTCTGTGGTTTACAATCTCCACTTACAGTTAACTTATGGCTGGCAATCCTACTGAGCAATAGCTGTGTGGAGTTTGTCCCATTAAGTTGTGTCTGTGTAGAGTTGGGTTATGGCTGGAGGTCCTCCTTAGTCAATTCTAGGTAAAGTTGGGTTGTGGCTGGGGGTCCTGCTGAAGGAATGTCTTCCAGAAGGTCTCTACCACCCACGGGGCCAACTTACCTGGCATCATGACACACACAATGGGGCAGTGTCTGAGATCATGTTGTGATAACAATAAGGCTTTAGCTTCGAGCACTGGAAGTCTGTGTGGAGCAGAGGAGACATGTGGCCTAGAATGTGCACATCCTGCATGTAGTCTGTGCAAAATTCTTCCGATCACCACACACGTAAAAAAGTCAATTCAATTCCCTGACCTGTAGTCAAAATGAAGTTCTGGACTGTGAAGAATGTATTCAACACATCAGTATGTGCAGGTATACATACCTCATACTTTCTCTTCTGATGGGAATCCTGAGAGAGAGAATTTCTCAGAGTCCGTATGTTTGTAGGACACAGATTAATAGCCAAACGAACCTAGAGCATGTCTGTGTATGAAGTCATATGTTATGTATGCCAGCTACACAACTAGTTAACAACTCATAATAAAACATAAGTTTCCATCAAACATGGTAGAGATGAAGCTGAATTACTTTTACCTTCTTTCACACCAAGATGATGCTGAAAAAATATTGCCCATGTGAAGAGTCATTCAACTAGTATGAAGTTAAAGTATTTTTGGAAGTAAAAGTGTTATATAGGTATATTAAGGAATTAATTCATAACATTGTTTTGTGCTGCCTTTTAGGATGTTTGCAGTATTTTTTCAGTTTTCAAAATATTTACTTGATTGTTGTCTCTTTTTTCATTCAAAATAAACATTCACACTCACATCTAATTTTCTATTCACAGTTTTATTTTTAAAGAGGATACCTAAAACTGTACAAGTGCCCACAAAACCTGCCATTGGTCTTTCCAAAAGAAATGGTACCCAGCATCTCCCTGCTAATAACTCTTAGAGTCTCCAGAACTTACAGTAACTTTGGGTGGAAGGATAGCAGGGAAAACCATTCATCCCAAAGGCAGGTCTGACGGGGTTTATGCAATTGCCTTCACAGGTGAATCTGATGCAGTCCTGAGTGTGCATGGAACCAACATGGCTCTCGCTCCTACACCATCTCTCTGGCCACGAGCCTACAACAGTGGTCTGGAAGGAATGACCACAGGGCCCACTTTCAGCACCAGTAACTCCACCCACAGCAGGACACTGGCCATGTTCACCTTCCCCACCACTGTCGTCATCAGTCTCTTGGGGCTGCTGGGGAACGGGGCTGTCCTCTGGCTCCTGGGTTTCCGCATCAGGAGGAACGCCTTCTCTGTCTACATCCTCAACCTCGCAGGGGCAGACTTCACCTTCCTGTGCTGCCAACTCTTCTTCGTCTTGACTGATATTCTAACAAATTCTTATGACATCTCCTTGTCAACTCTTCACTTCAAGGTCGAGTGGCCCTTTTACACCACCTTCCCGATAGCAAAACTTGTGGCCCCAATAGCGTTTTCCTCATACACCATGGACCTGAGCCTCCTGGCTGCCATCAGCACTGAGCGCTGCCTCTCCGCGGTCTGTCCCGTCTGGTACCGCTTCCACCGCCCAAAGTACATGTCCACCATCATATGCATCCTGCTCTGGACCAAGTCTCTGCTGGTGTGCACGCTGACAGGAAACAGCTGTGGCTTCCTGTTCCAAAGCTACAGTGAGACGGCATGCTACACTCTCACTGTGGTTAGTGTCGTGCTCGTTTTCCTCTTGGTCTCTGTGATGTGTGTGTCCAGCTTGACTCTGCTCCTCAGGGTCCAATGTTCATCCCAGAGACATCATCCCACGAAGATTTATATTGTTATCCTGCTCACCGTTCTTGTATTCCTTCTCTGTGGCCTCCCCTTTGGAATGTACTGGCTACTTCTACACTGGTGGAAAAAAACCACACTCCAACCCTTGAACCTTCCCTACTATCTCATTGACATCCTGTCCTGCCTGAACAGCAGCATCAACCCCATAATTTACTTCTTTGTTGGGAGCTTCAGGCAGTGGAGGAAGCGGGAGTCCCTCAGGGAGGTCCTGCAGAGGGCTCTAGGGGACGAGGCAGAGGTGGGTGTGGGAAATGGGTGCTCCCACACGGACATGGTGGAGGTGTCTGTCTGACTACATAGCAAGAGTTACCTACATACCCCGGGTAGAATGGCTCGCCACTCATCACTGCTGTGGGGGTTTTGTTTGTGTGTCAGGGTGGCTGGGCCTGGCTGAGTGGCTGGGCAGCTGGATGTAGTATTCCCTGTGATGAAACTGGCAATCAGCTCCACGGTGGGATCCACTGGGAGCAGCTGAGTAGCTGCCTTTGGGTATGTGGTCTGCTTCCTGTATTTAAGCAGAAGCCTTTGGGAATGGTCTCTAGCTTATGGCACACTTGGACCCTGTATGTAGCCGTGTCGTTGCTCAGTAGCCTGCTATGCTCTGCCGACCTTGGTACTTACAGCAGACTTAAGTTAATGGCCTGCCGTGTGGTTTGGTAACATTGAGACTGTGCCTTTTTCCTTGTCAACCTTGGGGCTTCTCAGCCTCAGTAGCCAGCGACTGTCTGAGTGAAGAAACACTTCTAGGTCCAGTGGGCCGGGAGCAGGAGGCAGAGCTGGACCCCAAGGTTGAGGGGCTTTCACCCAGCCCCTAGAGCCTGGCACTTTGAACTTGGACTTAAAGCCTCAAAACTGTAAGAATAAATTCCTGTTAAGGCATCCCATCTGTGGTCTATTCCTGTCAGAGCAGCACTAGGGAACCAGGACGCTGCCCTAGAGTTTCCTCCTAACACCTCAACTGGCTCTCTTCCTCTGCGTTCTGAGCCACCAGTGAATGAGGAATCAATCCATGACCTCACCACCGACTACCAGGAGGATGGGGAGGGAATTTCTCCATCGTATTCCAAAGAAGAATTGACGCATTTGGATTGTGGTGTTGACAAAGAATATTGAGCATACTGTAGATGCCAGGAGAACCAACGCATCAGTCTTAGAAGAAATACAACCAGAATCCTCCTGAGAAAGGGGCATGGTGAGACCTCAACTCATTTACTTTGGACACGTCATCAGGAGAGACCAAGCACTAGAAGAGGACATCACGTGCTTCCCCCAACAGTGTCCCCCACTGGGCTCTCACTACATGAAGGTGTTCACCACTTTCTTGCTCTCCTCCTGGGAAGCCCATGCTTTCTGACCATGTTTGATTCGGGCTTTAACAGGCATCACTGTGGCCACTTCTTATCCCGTGTGACAAACAGCATCAACCTCATCACCCATTTCTTTATGGGGAGCCCCAGGAAAGAAATCCACCATATATTATGGATGGAATTGTGTCTCCTAAAAAGACATGCTGAAGTCCTAATCTCTATTCCTTGTTTGGAAATGTGGTTTTCCTTGTGTTATCATTGAAGTCAATGGAGAGCGGAGTAGGAGGGGTCCTAGTCCTAACCTCTTCAGAGTGAAGTCTTGTAAAAGGAGGGAGCAGACACAGTAGGAGGCACACACACGGGGTGCACAGAATGCGAGGGTTCGTCTACAAGTCAAGGAACACTGAGGATTGCTGGTGACCCCGAAGCTAGGAGAGAGGCGTGGAACAGATTCTATGCCAGGGTCTCAGGAGCAGTCAATGTGGCCAGTGCCCTGAGTTTCCAGAACCATGAGGCAAACAGTTTCTGTTCTTAAAAACCACCACTTTGTCAGTTTGCTGGGACAGCCCCAGGAAACTAAGACACAACTCAGAAAGCAGAATGCAGAACAGGGCAAAGTGACCGTCAGGCACTTTGGACAGTGACTGGGGCTCTGAGTAAGATGGAGACAGCTCCCACCCACTGCTCACGGATCAGGAAGCCAGCCCTGTTGTGTGGGGAAGTAGCGGTGTCCTGCAAACTTGTGTGCAGTGAAGTCTTCTCGTCACCTTTCAAAAGGCTTGGTCTGCCTCTGGGCAGATAAGAAACAGCTCACCCATGCAGGAAAGACAGAGGAAGTGAGTGCCAACAAATTGAGGATGTAGACACAACAGTTGGTCTTCTTCAAAAGGCAGCTGAGAAACCAGAAAATGTCATATTCCCCACAATCCACACAGGGCCAAACGGCGGGAGCGGGAAGATAAACATCCATGGCCTTGGGAGCTCACTGTGGTTGGCCCGTTGTCACGGCTGGTCACTGATTCTGGGGAAACTGGTTCACGAGGTTGGAGGCAATTCAGGAAATCTCTGCTGAGCTTTGTGCTCCTAGTCAGCCTGTGGGTCCAAAGGTCTAGAAATGCAGCAAACGTCACAGGGTTGAGTGGATGGAGGTAGAAGGTAGCGATGTCCCACCCACCCTATAGACTGGCGTCCCGGGAATTTTCACAGGCCTCAGAGACACTAAAACAAAACAACAACAACAAAAAAAACTGTCAAGTGGATTATTTTTCATGGCAATCCTTTAGGCCAAAATAGAACTGCCCCATGGGATTTCCAAGGCTGTCAATCTTTATGGAAGCAGACTGCCTCATCTTCTGTGGAGTGGTTGGTGGGTTTGAACCACCAACGGTTTGGTTGGCAGCCTAATGCTTTAAGCACTGTGCCACCAGAGCTCCTTCCAGAGACACTAGTGGAGACAACTGGCCTCTACTTAGCAGACAAGTGTCATTGGTTGCTGTGGAGTGGGCAGAATGCTGCCCGGTCCTGCCCCATCTTCATGACCATCGGTGTGGCTGAGTCCTTGCTGTGGTCATTGAGTCCACCCACCTCCTGGAGGGTCTCCCTCGTTCTCTCTGGTCCTCTACTTTATCAAACATCATGTTCTTTTCTAGCAGATGAGTAAGTAGAAGACACAAAGGCTGCCCTGTCCACAGCACCGTGGGTCACCCCGGGACGTTTCCCTCCACACTGGGTGCCTCTTCCACCTTCTTAGTGTAACTTCCCTGTCCAGAGGTAAGGCCCTGTTGTCTGAAGCGGACTCTGAGCTGAAGCCCAGACTCTCCGGCTGGACAAGGAGCAAAACGTCTCTGTCAGGGCTGGTGCTTCTTCAATATCCTTTCCAAGAAAACCTCGCTCTTCACCCAAATTGCCTTACTTCCAGGAAACATGATGTTTCACCTATCTGAGCACATCTTAGCTGATTCATTATCTGGAGAGCCTGGCTTGTGTGTTCTGGATGTAGAAGAGAAGTCCCTTCTCACTGCAGCCAAACACCCCATCCTGATAGCTCAAGGCACGAAGGGGTCGTCAGACAACACTCCCTGCATCTTTGGCTCTTCCTCCTTGCCTATGGATTTTGTTCTTTCAGATGCCACTCACCCCCTCACCCCCTTCACGTTTTACCAAAATGCCCTTTCTCAATGGCGCCTCCTTGATCAACTCTTGTAAATTTTCAACCCCCTCTGTTACCATGATGTTTATCATGAACTGATGCAATGTGTAATTTGCATATTTGTGATGCAGTAAGCATCTGCTATTGCTGTCTTCTGCTTAGAACATAAGCTCTGCTCGCACAGGAAGTTTTGTCACTCTTGTTCATGGATGTATCCGTTTCACCTAGAACAGCGCCTGACACACCACAGTTGGTGAATAAATGCTTCTTGGCTCAACAACTGAGCTTGTTCGTCCTAAAAGCACTGACAGACCCTCCTGGGGAAGCTTCCAGACCTAGGAAGCTTCAATGGCCTCAAGCTCCATGTTCAGATGCACCCTCCAAGCTGGGGAGGGACCAGGGAGCAGGGTCTGAGGGTCCCTCATGTTTATTCCCCAGGGAAAGACAATAAATAACATTCTCAAAATAGCAAAACTATCAAAACCAAAAACTAAACCCACCATCATTGAGTCAATTTCAACTCCTAGCAACCCTGTAGGACAGAGTAGAAGTGCCCCCATAGGGTTTCCTAGGCTGTCAATATTTACAGAAGCAGACTATCACATCTTTCTCCCAAGGCGTGGCTGGTGGGTTCAAACCACTGACCCTTTGGTTAGCAGCTGAGTGCTTCAACTACTGTGCTACCAGGGCTCCTTAGCAAAACTATAGGGAGAATACATCAGTGGTTGCCAGAGGTTAGGACTGGGAGGGAAAAGGGTGAGCGTTTGTGCCCCTGTTGAAATCTGAACCCCTGTACCTATGAATGTGAACTTGTTGGGAAATAGCTTTTTATTTTGTTACCAAAAAACGCAAAATGCAACTACTGCCATGGAGTCGGATCTGACTCATAGCGACCCCTCCTTGGGTTTCTGAGGTGGTATCACTATGGAAATAGATTGCCCAACCTTCCTTCCGAGGAGTGGCTGGTGGGTTTGAACCTCCAGCCTTCTGGTTAGAAGTCAAGTGCCTTAGGCACTGTGCCACCAGAGATCCTTATAGAAAAGTATGTTGTTGTTGTTGTTATGTGCCGTCGAGTTGGCCCCAACTCATAGCGACCCCTCCTTGGGTTTCTGAGGCAGTATCACTACGGAAGTAGGATTGCCCAACCTTCCTTCCGAGGAGTGGCTGGTGGGTTTGAACTGCCAGCCTTCTGGTTAGCAGTCAAGTGCTTTAGCCACTATGCTACCAGAGCTCCCATACAAAAGTATAAGGAGAATATATTAGTGGTTGCCTTTTTTGTTTTGTTGCTTAGAGGCTATAGATGGGGCAGGGGGGGATGAGTGTAGGTTTTTGTGGTGATGTTTCTGTATCTTGATTGTGCACAAAGGTACACGTGAGACAAATTTGTGCACACATGTGTACAAATGTACATGAGATAAAATTGCATACAACTATGCGCACACACACAGAAGTGCATGTAATACTGACAAAATCCAAATGAGGTCTGCAGAAGACATCTGGGTCATCTCTCCTGTTTCATTATGACACTATGGTGATGTGAGATGCTTCCACTGAGGGACACTGGATGGAAAATACATGACACTTCTCTGTACTCACTTTGCAATTGCCTATAAATCTATAGCTATTTCAAAATAAAATTATAAAAATAATAAAGGAAATCCTATGACTAGAAAATATAATAACAAAATTCAATAGATGTGTTTAATAGCAGATTAAATGAGGAAGATGAGAGAACTTGTACACTGGAAGACATCTGGGCAGAAAATATCTAGACTGAGACATGGAGATTGAAAAGGGGTAGAATTCAGAAAAGAGTACGAGACATACCTGGGACAT